GAGATTCCTGACAATATTATGTCAACAAAGCACCATCTAGCGGTTATGGCACCCAGGCCGTCCCTGCCCGCCGAGAAGCTGTGCACACTTGCCCAGCTCACTGCGGCCAGATGCCGAAACAGGGCTCCGGAGCCCACGCCACCCCTGTGTCCAGAAAAGCCGAGCTTATGGAGGAGGCTGCTCCTCAGGCTTGCGCATTTCTTTGGTGTAAAACACGGTAGTTATTGCCGCTGGCCTGTGCCTCCTTGGTTATGTCATTGTTTTGTCTTGTCTTTCTTCTGCCTGGGCCAGCTGCAGGCAGGGCAAGGGTGCTTGGTGAGCAGAGGGGCTGCAGGTTAGGCAGCAGGCTTGTGCAAGCTGGCTTTGGGTGGGTTGGAAGGCTGCTGCAGCATTGCCAGGCATCAGCTGCTGTCGGGTAACTCAGGCAAGGAGCACCTTGCAATGCAGCAGTGCATGCAGCTGAGCCAAGGCTTGACTCTGCTGTATCCAAAGTCCTGTGCTACAATCCCAGCTTGGGCTGCCTCGACCTCGCGCCGTATGTTGTTTTTTTTTCACTACAGACTAAGCACAGTGAAAAGATTCAGCAGAATTGGTATCTGCAGCCTTGGCTCAAATCTTTGGCCTCTGCCCTGCTCGAGGAGAGAGAGGACAGCTTGGGATAGGCACCCCAATTCCTTTGTTAGCTGACATTTTCTCACTGTTGGGACTTTCCTACCCAATGCAAGGCTGAGACCAGTGCTGGGGGATGGGAAGCCAGCCCCGGGGCTTGCCTGCACACCACCCACCCCAGCAGCACTTGCTTTGCCTGAGGACCTGCTTGGGGTTCAGATCTCCTGCCCAGTGACACAGATGAGCTGAGCCAAGGCAAACAGAGGGCGAGCCAATGCATCGCTCTCCTTCCCTTAGCCCACCCTGATCTCAGTCTCGGAGCAAAGTACCAGATCCCAGTTACTGGCCAAATTGAGTTCCAGGCAGCCAGAGGGTTTCCCAAATCTCAGGCACCCATTTGGCTGGACCACCCAGGGTTGTCAGTCCCGTGCCACCCTGCCTCAGTGTGACAGCATTGCTGGAGCTCTGGGCTCTGAGCAGAAAGGACGTGCTGCCATTCCTCAGGGATCTGCAGCAGGGTCAGATCTTGCCCTGCATGTTAGTTGGTGTTTAAACCCAAAAGTTTCCCAGAAAGTAGGTAGCAGCCCTAAAAGCCTCCCAAGTGCTGAGCGCGTCGTTGGGTTTTCATAAGCTGCTAACAAATGCTTACCCCAGTGGTAGGGATTTAGTCAGCACACGCTTCGTCTTTTCTTGTCCCTGAGCTAGGTGTCCAGGGATGGCGGTTGGCAGTGTTGTGGCTGGAGATGAAAGGTGCCTCTGAAGTTCTTCAAAGCAGTTTGTTAGAAAGTCATGTGTCCCCTCCAGTCCTGAGCATCGGGTCACACCCCCAGCCTTGCAGCGCCCGTGCCTTTGGCACTTTCAAAGCCTGGCATTGTCCCCTGTTCAGGTTTGTACCCCCAGGTGTGACACTGGGAGGAAATCTGTTACTTGCTTTCTTGCTCTGTGGTTGGCAGCTGAGACTTTGAAGCTGGTTAGCAAGTGATGGGTGATGACATCTGACAGGCAAAGCTGATGGGACTGAGTCTTTTCTAGCAGATGCATGTGTCTGGCAGGGCAGAGATACCCCACGCTGCAACTGATTTCTTTACTGTGCCAAGGAGGAAAACAGAGCAGGATTAAAGGACTCACTGGAATCCTGCTTATGTAATTAAAAAAAATAGGAATCCTGACTTCCAATAAAGAAACTTCATAAATATATGAGTTTGTGTTGGAGTGTAAAGTAATTTGTCAGCATCAGAACTGTGGCTGTCAGCATGGAGGAGTTTTGTTCTTCCTGGCAAGGACTTGAGTCACTAACAGCATGTCCTAGACCATTGTGCACTACAAGAACAAGTAGTTGGTTCCAACCCCGCTCTTTATCTGCATGAAGTTTCACTCCAGCCTTAGCATGCCTGGGAGAAATCAGTGTTTGATTTTCGAAACTATTCATGCTGCTGTCGACCTTCAGTTGCTCCCTCCTGTTACAAGCCCACTGTTTGCTTTGCTTTGTGAACTAGTCATTCAGGTGAGAAACCCCCATGGTCTTGCCTGACTTGAGAACTGTTTTGCCACGTATCCTGTAGCTTTGAGCTTTATCTGATGAGCTTTGAAGTGGTGCCTTACTGAAGGCTCGTAGGAAGTCACAGGTACCATGTGGTAAGTTGTGTTTCCGCTGCTGGTTGTCACAGAACCACCTTCAAGGGACTTAGGGAGCTTTTTAGTAAGGTTCTGCCCACTCATACATCTGATTGAGTTGTTACACTTATCAGAAAAAGATGCATCTGTAAATCCTGGTTGTGATGTGCGGGCTGCATGTCAGAGGTTGCCTGGGTCTCTTTGCTAATGGTGGCTCAGGAGGCAGGTTCAGAGACCTGAGCAGCTCTGCCTGGTGGCAGCAAGGTGACAGCCACAAGCTAGGACTGCATAGGATGAGGTTGAGCATTAGGAAATTTTCCAAGGAGGGTGGCACAGTCTGGGACAGGTCTCCAGAGGAGTGGTGGATCTTCATCTTGAAGGTTTTCAAGATCTGGCTAGACAAAGCCAGGCCTGAGCCCTTCAAGGGATGGCAGCAGTCCTGCTGCGAGCGGAGGGTGGGACTAGGGACCCCTTCCGCCGCCCTACTGTCATTCGCTGATTGTCCTCTTGTTTCTTGCAGGAAGAAGAGGGTGAGGATGCAGATATCTCTTCTGGTCCCTCGATCATTAGCCACAAGATGCCTTCTGCCCAAGCCTTTCATCATTTCGCTCCTCGTTACTCTGAGATGGGCTGCGCTGGGATGCCGATGAGAGATGCCCATGAAGAAAACCCAGAAAGCATCCTTGATGAACATGTACAGCGTGTGATGAAAACACCGGGCTGCCAGTCTCCAGGACCTGGCCGCCACTCTCCTAAGCCACGGTCCCCAGAAAGCGGCCACTTAGGAAAGCTGTCAGGGACACTAGGAACAGTTCCTCCAGGACATGGCAAGCATGCAACAAAATCAGGAATGAAACTGGATGCAGCTAACTTATACCACCATAAACACGTCTACCACCACATCCATCACCACAGCGTGATGAAACCAAAAGAGCAGATCGAGGCCGAGGCCACGCAGCGAGTGCAGAACAGCTTTGCTTGGAATGTAGATTCACATAACTATGCAACAAAGTCACGAAACTACACTGAAAACTTGGGCATGGCCCCTGTCCCCATGGACTCTTTAGGCTACAGGTGAGTCAAGGCAACACCCAACAGGAGTCCCAGACCCATGGCTTCTCTAGGAAGCTCTTTCATAAATGGGCTGTAGCGTGCCAGTGAAACAGGGTGGCTGAACCATGTTTTCTCATGAAAGCCTGTGCTGGGACATGGTTTAAGGGCCTCCCACTGCTCTTCCTCTTCAGGAATGGATATGTCCCCCAATAACCCTTATAGACGCCTTTTCACCTCTGTGATCTGGTGCTGAAAGACACCCTGTAATCAGGATTTTAAATGGCCTTGGTTATAAAGTAGTTTTTCTGCTCCTTAAAGCAGTGGAGGTGCTTAGAAATTGCAGATGCTGGTCTACTTCCCTGTGCATCAGGAGCTGCTAAGTATAGGGCTGTGTCTAGGGGTCTGGGTACCAGAAACCAGTCTCCTAAGGTGTTTTATCAGCGGACAAAAAAGCCCTGCTTGTTGCAAGGCCTAACTCATTCACCAGAAAGGCTCCTTTCTCTTCCTAACAAAGCGATGGATGCTGCAAAGCTGCCGTGGCGTGCTCTCCCAAGGGGGTGTTCTCTGGGGCAGGGGGCCATCTGCCCAGGAAAGACCTGGCGCTGCCTTCCAGGCTTTTGTCCATCTTCCCTTGGCCATTTGAATTCCTCTGTCCCCTTCGTGCAGAGGGGAGAGGGTGAAGCTCCTTCTCCGCTGCGGCGGGTTTTGCTAGTCCTGTTACTGGGTGGCTGCAAAGGTGAGAGCGGAGCTTGGGGCTGCCTGGGGTGGTGATGGAGCAGCTGCAGGGGAGAGCCGCAGGAGTGCTCACGCTGAGCGTGGCTGCCTCCCCAGGGCTGTGGGTTTGGGGTGTTGCTTTGCAGCGTACCAGGGGTGGGGTATTTAGTGAAGGGAGGTGTCTGGGTCTCCAGCAGGCAGGACCGGCTTTCCAGGGTGGGAGGAGAGAGGCAGAGCATGGAGGCAGCTGAAGCAAACTGCTCTCCAGGGAGGGAGAAGCACTTAAATCTGTCCTGTTTCTGTGGGGAAAGGATTGTTACTTCAACAGAGCATGAGCATGGCCATGCCGTGTCAACCCAAAGCCACATCTAGACACAGGACTTCTTTCTAGCACCAACTACAGCACATATTTAAGGGGATTATAAGAGGGCACATCCAGAACTGTCCTTCCTCTGGCACAAACTCCCGAGTCCTGATAGTCCCAGGTTTAGGAGCTTCACAAGACAAGAGTTTGCATCTGAACGGTCTTGTTTGGCAGCCAGCAGTCCCTTGCAGTGGCTTGTCTGGCTCCTTGTTGAACCCATCTGGGCTACTGTCCTCCCAGCCCCCTGTGGCTGTGTCTACGGGATGGTTACAGCCTGTGGAAAAAGGGGTTTTTTTTGTTTGCACTGAACCTGCTGCTGGAGAATTTAATTTGATAACCTGCTGGCCCTTGTGTGGGGAGAAGCAGAGAAGAGGTTGACAGTTTGGCCTGCCTCTGTAGATCTTCAGCAACCCCTCTCCAGGTTTTTTCCCCAGAAAATCATCAAAGCTGTCTGAGGGCTTGTTACTCCTCTGTGGTGTTAAGGTTATTTTTCCTATGTGTGTTAGTGAGCAAGCAGAAGCAGAAGTAGAGAGATTCTATGGAGTAAAGCAAGTGAGTGATTAGGATGATGGGGATCCCATGAAATTACAGGCTGTGGCAGTGACAGGAGAGCAAGGGCGAATTCCACGTGGCCTCGTGAGCATGGGGCTTCCCGGGTGGGCATGTGGGCATGCATGCGGGCAAGGAGCAGTGGGATTTCTGTAGGAGCCTTTGCAGCAGCCGTAAGCATAGCCAGAGGGTCGGCTACTGCCTGGTGTCTCGTCTGGCTGTGGTGTTTGAGGTGGCTGTGCTTCCCAGTGCCTGGAGAAGGCAGCTCCCCCCACCAGCATGTGATCTTCCACCATGATATGAAGCCTTGGTTCAAATCGGGGTGAGAAGCAAATGAGCATGGCAAATGAGCAGTCTTGGGGTATCAGTGAATCTGGGGGGTGATGGGAAGGGCTTGGGTTTCAAGCAGTGATCTGACTTGGAGAGGCAGCTGACAGATTGCAGCACCAGGATGAACCTCCTGCTCCTAGCAAAGAGACAGAGGTTTAACGCAACCCTTCTTGCGGCAGGAGATCTGCTGGGCTTTTTGCCGTTTTGCCATGGCTTATTTTGCCAGAGGAGAAGCTCCCTTTCCCCACAGGTTGCTGGATGGAGGAGCCTGCTGTACCTAGGTCTAGCCAGTCTAGCTCTTAGCCTCAACTGCAGCACAGTTGTTTTGAGCTATGGTAGAGCCAGGGGGCTGTGGAAGGCAGCCAGGGCCACATCTGCACTGCAGGCAGCACCAGACCCCGGCAGGGCTGAGTATGTCTGGAGATGGACATATCCGTCCTCGGCCATGGTCTGCAGTGGTTTGGCTTAGGCAAAGCGCTAATGTCTCAAGCTTTGTTCTTGCAGCGGGAAAGCAAGTCTGCTCTCAAAAAGAAATGTTAAGAAGACCGATTCAGGGAAAAGTGATGGTGCCAACTATGAGATGCCAGGATCTCCTGAAGACGTGGAGAGAAACCAGAAGATCCTTCAGTGGATCATAGAAGGAGAGAAGGAGATCAGCAGGCATAAGAAAACAAACCACGGGTAAGGGCTGGCAGAGCGAGGAGTCTTCACGCTGTGGTGTTACATCCCCTGCACAAGGCTGTCCAGCAGTCTGCCCTTGTTCGTGGAGACCTTGGGAAGACAGGAATTCACCAGGCACAAGGGTTTAGACCCTTTGGAGACTGAGGATTGCTCAGGGCCTGTAAAGCTGTTTTCTCTGAAGGATGACCGGTGGCCATGGGGAGAGGTTGCAGCCCTAGGAGAATCTCAGAAATTGCTTCTGTGATTCCGAGGTGGATAAGGCAGCACACAGTAGGCAGTATTTTTCCTTTAAGCATTTACTATATGTAAATGACTGGTACTGTTGCAAGGTGCTGATAGAAATGTAGGACCTGCTGCACTGGAGCTGTTGGTCCTGAGTAAGCAGTTTAGCATGGCTCAGAGTTGCCCAGCATTTCAGCTTGCTGGTAGCATCTTCTGGGGTGGCCTCGCCTGTCTAGAGTGGAGCCAAGGATGTGGCTGTCTCAGGAATTTCTCTGGAGTCAAGCAGATCTCCTACAGGCACAGATCCTTAATCACAGTCGGATCAACCTCTGGCAAAAAACCAGCGTTTGCCGGGTATCGATGAGAGGGATCTGAGGTCTCGTCCCCTCTGATGCTGGCGACTGCGTGGTGAAACTGCTGGTGGTTTCTTCTCTTGCTGGATGGTAGAGACCAGGGTGGGTTGTGCTGCAGTCAGGACCAAGTGCCAGGGCCACGGGCAGTGCCAGCCACCGTGAAGTCAGGCAGCAGGTTCTGCCGCTGGAGCCAGGGAAGGATGAGCACATCCCTGCAACATCCCTTTCCCTGGAGATGCCAACCAGCGGCTCGTGGAGAGGCTCCCAGCCTGGGAACATCAGCAGCCCGTGGGAGGGCATCTTCTGGGGGAGGGGAGCTACCTTTTGCGGGGTTTATTTTTATGTGTTGTGCACATGATGAGAGCCCTTCAACAGATCCGTGGGCTTTGTGCCAGGTTTGGGTTGCTCACCCTGATGTCTCAGGACTTGCTGTCCTGAAATTTTCTCTAGAGGCGGATGGCGCTCCCCTCTCCCTCAGAAGCTTACCAGTGGTGCCCGTGTCCAGCTGCAGAAGCAGTAGGTCCATCTAGGAGTGACTGTGTGCCTGTGCAGAGCGGCTCGGCGGTCTGTGTAAAACCTTTGTGTTTGTGTGTAGCTCTTCAGGTGCTAAGAAGCAGCTGTCCCATGATATGGTCCGACCCCTCTCCATTGAGCGACCTGTTGCGGTGCATCCGTGGGTCAGTGCCCAGCTCCGAAACGTCGTCCAGCCTTCTCACCCGTTCATCCAAGATCCTACCATGCCGCCCAATCCAGCCCCCAACCCTCTCACCCAGCTGGAAGAAGCTCGCAGGAGGTTGGAGGAGGAGGAAAAAAGGGCTGGAAAACTCCCCCCTAAACAAAGGTATGGCTATAGGGTCTGCTTGTGCATGAGAAGGAAGGGAGAGACTGCTCTGAAGGTGGGCAGCTGGGGGAGTTGTCCATGTCCTCTACTCTGGTCTCCAGCTCCTGGCACCAACTGGTTGTAGGCACGTGCAGAGAGGTCAGAGAAATCTGCCTCAGTCACTCTGGCACGGTGGTGCAAATGCCAAAACCCACCTTGAGGGCTGGGGTTTGTGCTTGCGGTTTGTGGATGGAGAGACTGGAAATACTCCTGGCAGGGTGGGGAAGGGGCTGCGGAGAGCTTGAGGAGGAGCTGGGCAGGGGGAGCATGTCTCGAAGGGGCACGGGATGGGAGAGCTCT